CAATCCCAGCTGTCCTGGGGTCACCTCACTGCCTCAGCTCCAGTATTCTGTATTCCTTTATCCAAGGAAAACAGGGAAATGTTCCAGACCGCTTTCTGCAGGGCGACACTTCCTCCTCACAGGCACCAAGTGCTCCACAATCAAAATCACCAGGAGTGTCACCAACACCGGGAACATGGGAACAGGCTGTCCAGAGAAGTTGTGAATGACAGAGGGAGGGTTTAGATGGGATATTGGGAATAAATCCTTCCCTGGGAGGGTGGTGAGGCCCTGGAATGGATTTCCCAGAGAAGTTGTGGTTGCCCTATCCTTGGAATGTCCAAGACCAGGTAGGCTGGGGCTTGGAGCAACCTGGAATAGTGGAAGGTGTCCCTGCCCTGTGGGATCCTTAAGGTCTCTTCCCACCCAAACCATTACAGAATTCCATGATCACACATATCCAAACATTCCCACAGGCAAAACCATCCACTCCTGGTCACTCCGAGCTCAGAGATTCCTGTGCACACACAGCCCAGCAACCCCTGCACGGACACACGGCTGCTCCACAGACAACATTCCCAGTGTTCCAGCCACTTGTGCTCCATGAATACCCATGGAGCTGCTGGACAACCTTCATGGAAACCTTCCCCTTCTGCAGAACCAGCTCTTGTCTTTCCCAGCTCCACCTTGACCCCAAACCTGCTCAACCCTCAGTGCTCACTCTCCTTTCTCTGCTCCTTTCCCAAATTCCCGCTTCCCAGCCCCCGCCGGCCCCGCTGCTCCGAACATCCTTCCCGCTGTACATTCTTCCCTGAGCCCTTATCTCATAAATTAGCCGGGAGAGGGATCCCAAATAGCTGAGCCGTGGTGTAAGCGTTTCCCTGAGGCAGGGGCGGGCGGGAGCAAGGGAAAGGTTGGGAGCAGGATGCCAGCCAAGGGTCAGACGCTGTCAACTCCCTCCTTCTCCTTTGAATCCAAACACAAACGCTCCAGGAACACTCCCAAACCCATGGAAATCTCCTTTCCCTCCCCTGCCAGAACCCCCCAGCATCCCACGCTCGCTGCTCCAGGATTTTTGCCTGCAGGATGGTCCTGGGCACCTCCAAACACATGGATCAGCTGTGCTAACACAGACCACGGAGTTTGGGAAGATTCCTGAGTGGGAAGGGATGATCCATGAGGATCATCCAAGTCCAACTCCTGGCCCTGCATAGGACAACCTCAAAAATTCCACCATGCGCCTGAGGACAACAACAATCTTCCCAACACAGGAGAAGCCCACCTTGAGGACACCCAATATGGAAAGTCAGGATTGCATTCCCAGCACCTTCATCCCAGGAAAGCCTGAAGTTATTCCCAATGCATCTTTTCCCTCAGGAACTTTTCCCTAGTCCATCTCAAATACCAGAGCAAAGCCTGGGATCCTTCCCATCACTTTTCTGCTTTTCCATCCTCACCCGCCTGAGATCTCACCCTCAAAGAGCAGACAGCCACATTCCAGGGAAATGAGGATATCTGGGAAAACAAGGATACCCAGGGAAACATGGATATCCATGGAAGTAAATATATCCAATGCATCTTTTCCCTCAGGAACTTTTCCCTAGTCCATCTCAAATACCAGAGCAAAGCCTGGGATCCTTCCCATCACTTTTCTGCTTTTCACCTCACCCGCCTGAGATCTCACCCTCAAAGAGCAGACAGCCACATTCCAGGGAAATGAGGATATCTGGGAAAACAAGGATACCCAGGGAAACATGGATATCCATGGAAGTAAATATATCCAATGCATCTTTTCCCTCAGGAACTTTTCCCTAGTCCATCTCAAATACCAGAGCAAAGCCTGGGATCCTTCCCATCACTTTTCTGCTTTTCCATCCTCACCCGCCTGAGATCTCACCCTCAAAGAGCAGACAGCCACATTCCAGGAAAACAAGGATATCTAGGGACACAAGGATACCCAGGAAAACAAAGGGTACCCAGGAAAACAAAGACATCCATGGAAATAAATATATCCAGGAAAACAAGGATGCCTAGGAAACAAAAGTACACAAGGAAATAAGGATATCTAGGAAAACAAGGATACCCAGGAAAACAAAGGATACCCAGGAAAACAAAGGATACCCAGGAAAGCAAAGGATACCCAGGGAAACTAGAATAGCCAAGGAAATAAGGAAATCCTGCCCGAGCAAACACCAAGGAAAACTTAGGAAAATCCAGGTCCATCTCTCACAGCCAAGAAAACCAGAGGCACCATCCAAACCTGAGATTTTGGGAACATTTGCTTTCCAAAACAAGCCTCGCTCTGCAGATGGGACCAGGCAAATTCCAGGATTTGGAATGACCACAGGCACCAGTTCTTCCCCAGCTCCACCAGCACAGCCCCCACTCCCAAACATCTCCATGAGGAGCCTGGTTAATCCTTGTCTGACACTGGGAAATACCAAGAGCTCAGGGATTCTGCCCTAATTTTCTGGGATTGCTTACAGCAGGCTCAGATCCTGGGAAAATCAGAGTCAAGAAGAGCAATGAGAATTCCCAAGTTATTCCAGGTTTCTCAGCCTGCAGGAAGAAATCTCCTCAGGGGTGAGATGACCCATAAGAAGAAGAAAATATTTCACTTCAAGCAAAAAATGGGTTGGAAAATGATTTCCTGATGATGGGAATTCAGTGATAAATTTTAAAGGAGTGATGGGATAATTAATTTATTCCTGTAAATTATTAAATTCTAACACATCTATTGTTTACCACATCCAAAAACCATTAATTCCTCAGGAGGGCCAGATTCCAGAGTAAATCCAACTCCATGATTTAGGGCCCTGACCTTCACTCCCAAAAAACCAGAGGATCACTCTGGCCTCAGAATTCCTCGGAGCACAACAATTAAACCTGGCACAAGAGGGAAAAACTGAGCAGCAATTCCTGGTGGCAAAACTTTCTTCTCTTCCCTTCTCTCCCTCCAGCTCCGTGTCGGAACAGATGCTCTGGAATAACAGCGGGAAAGGGATCAAGCTGCCCAAACAAAGTCGTGCTCCATGGAATATTTGGCTCAGAAAGGTTTTAAGAAGGATTTTATAGCTGAGGGTAAGAAATATCCTTCAGGCACAGTTCCCTTGATCCTGGATTCTTACAGGGACAGGATGGTTTTGATTGAAGAAAAAAAGAAAGAAGGAGAAGGAGATTAAAAAAGGGAAGGAGGAGGAAAATGGGAGAAAGTAGGAGGGAAAAGGGGGAGAAAAGGAAGAAAAAAGAAAGGAGGAAAATAGAGAGGAAGAATCCCAGGATGGCTGAGGTTATCAGGGATCTCTTGGAGTCATCTTGCTCGAGCAGGATCACCCCCAGCATCCAGAAAGAACAGGAAAACAAAAGAAAGAAATCTCTGTGTTGTAATAAAGATGCTCTGGGGAAAGGGAGAAATTCCATGTCTCCAGCTGAAGAGACAGAGAGCTGGTCCATAAATAACATTGGGATGCTGAGCCAGAGCTCTGCAGGATTCCCAGGAGCTGCTCAGCACCCCCAGGATGGGAAGTGGGAGAGGAGGATTTAGGAGTTTGGCCCAAGTGAAATCCTAAAACCAAAGGAAGCCCCAGAAGGCTGCAGGGAACGTGGGCTGGGAGCGGCCGGTAAGAGCCCTCATGGTGAGGCTTCCCATTCTTGGTAATCCTGGGGCTCCTGGGAATCTGGGATCATGGCTGGAACTACCAGGGGGGTGCTTCTTCCTTTGAAGAAGAGATGCCTTACGGAGAGGTCACATGGATGCCAGGAGAGGGGGAAGCAAGGAGGAAGCAGCTTGAGCTTCCACTCGCTCCCAAGAGCATCTTCTGTTCCCACTTTCCAGGATAAATCCTTCTACCAGCCAAAGAATCCACAGGGACACCACTGTCCTGCCCCAGCTGCCTCTGGAGGCTCACTGCACAACCCCACTGCTCCAAAGGGGATCCCAGCTCCAGAGCTGACCCATGGATCGGGATACACCCCAGGACCTGCTGGGGCAATGGAGCCTCGCCAGGATGGGCACATTATTCCCTCCATGTGCCAGGGGCTCATCCCAAAGGACACAGCCCGTGGCAACCAAACCTGGGCCTGGCAAGCGACCCACTGGAAAACAAGGGAGGGAAACAAAGCAGCGAGGGGGAAAGAGAAGGAACCAGCCAGTCCACAAGGAAGAGCGGAGCGTGCCAACAAGAGCAGAGCAGGGAAGGGAACACGGAGCCGAGGCAGGAACAACAATGGGATCAGGCTCCCAACACATCCCAGTTCAGCCATGAGCAACCACATTTCATCCAACAGAGGCCAAGTTCTCTTCCCAACCACTTTTCCACCCTGGTGGGAAGGAGAGCGATCCACAGCCATGCGGTGGCCACAAGGATCCAGAAAAGGTCTGGGATCCATAGGCCAGAGCCACTGCCACAAGACTGCTCCAAGGATAGTGAGAGACATTCCAAGGTCCTTGCTGGGCTGGCAGTGGGAATCTAAGGCATGGCACAACACAATTCCCAGAATATCCAGCTTGGCACCCACAGTGTGCACCGGAGGATGCACAGCTGCCCCTGGATAGGGATCTGTGCCATTCCAGGATGGTGTGGAGCCAGGCTGGGAGAGCTGGGATTGTTTAACCTGGAGAAGGGAAAGCTCCAGAGAGACCTCATAGCCCCTTCCAGCGCCTAAAGGGACTTCAGGAGAGCTGCAGAGGGACTTTGACAGAGGGTCTGGAGTGACAGGACAAGGGGGAATGGCTTCCCACCGCCAGAGAACAGGGTTAGACGAGATGTTGGGAAGGAATTCCTCCCTGTGAGGGTGCCGAGGCCCCTGGACGGGTTTCCCAGGGAAGCCGTGGCTGCCCCATCCCTGGCAGTGCCCAAGGCCAGGCTGGACAAGGCTGGGAGCACCCTGGGCTAGGGAAGGTGTCCGTGCCCAGGGCAGGGGCTGGCACTGGATGAGCCTGAGGCTCCCTTCCCTCCCAGCCCATTCCACGGCCGATCCCGGGCCGGGCCGGCCCTGTGGGGCGGCGCTGCCCCCGTTACCTTCAAAGAAGCGCTGCAGAGCCTCCGTCTCGTCCACCACCTCCATGGCTGGGCCATGCACGGGCCGGCCCCGGCTCAGTCCCTGCGGCTGCAGGGGGGCATCGCCCCGGCCCGGGCGGCCCCGCCGCGACCCCCGAGCCCCGTGCGGGCCCCGCTCTCAGCGCCGGGCTCCCGCTGCCCAGCGCGGCCGCCCGATGCCCATCGGCGTCCGCCGAGCGCTGCCCCGGACTCCTCGGGCTGCCGCGGCCGCTCCTCCCTCCTTGCCCGCTTCCCTCCCTCCCTCTCTCCCCCCGTGCCGGCCCTTCCCCGCCCGCTGCTCCTCCTCCGCCCCGCGCCGCGATCGGGGCACCCCCGCCGAGAGGCTCCGGCGACGCCGCCGAGTCGGGAGGTTGCCGAAAGTCACCTAAAAACGCTCGCCAGGCACCGGGAGGGACCTGCGGACTGAAAAATCCGCTCAGAATGCGCTAAAAAGCGGCCACGAGCCGCCAAGAAACAGCCCCAAGTCACAAGGCACTAAAGTCCCAAGAGCAGCCATCGAAACTCAGCCACTAAAGCCCCCCAAATCGGCTACTACAGCCCCCAAACCCAGTCACTTAAGCCCCAAAACCCAGCTACTAAAGCCCCGAAACCCAGCCACGAAAGCCCCAAAAACCAGCCACTAAAGCCCACCAAAACCAGCCACTAAAGCCCTAAAACCTGGCCACCAAAGCCCCCCAAGCCCAGCCACTAAAACCCCCCAAAATTGGCTACTAAAGCCCACAAACCAGTTACTGAAACCACAAAACCAGCCACTAAGGCCCCCCAAAATCAGCTACTAACTCCCCAAAACCCCAGCCACTAAAGCCCCCCCAAAAAAGCCACTAAACCCCCAAAAACCAGCCACTAAAGCTCCCAAAAATTGGCTACTAAAGCCCCAAAAACTGGCTACTAAAGCCCCCAAAACCAGCCACTAAAGCCCCCAAAACTCAGCCACTAAAGCCCAAAAACCCAACCACTAAACCCCCAAAAACAGCCACTAAAGACCCCCAAAATTGGCTACGAAATCCCCCAAACCCGGCTACTAAAGCCCCAAAAACCCAGCCACTAAAGCCCCCCAAAACAGGCTACTAAAGCCCCAAAAACCAGCCACTAAAGCCCCCAAAAACAGCCACTAAAGCCCCTCAAAACCAGCCACTAAAGCCCCCCAAAACAGGCTACTAAACCCCCAAAAACTAGCCACTAAAGCCCCCCAAAATCGGCTACAAAATCCCCCAAAATCGGCTACTAAAGCCTCAAAACTCAGCCACTAAAGCCCCCAATACCCAGCCCTAAAACTCCCCAAAACTGGCCACTAAAGCCCCCCAAAACTGGCTATTACAGCCCCAAAAACTAGCCACTAAAGCCGAAAAAAACTGGCTAATAAAGCCCCAAAACCCAGCCACTGATGTCCCCAAAACTCAGCCACTAAAGCCCCCCCAAAACTCAGCCACTAAAGCCCCCAAAAATCGGCCACTAAAGCCCCCAAAAAACAGCCACTAAAGCCCCCCAAAAACAGCTACTAAAGCCCCAAAAACAGCCACTAAAGGCCCCAAAACCCAGCCACTAAAGCCCCCCAAAACAGCCACTAAAGCCCCCCAGAACTGGCTGCTAAAGCATCAAAACTCTGTGCAAAAAGCACAAAAAAGAGAGGCAAAAATCACTAGAAAACAAAACAAAAAAGCAGGCACAAACTACCAAAATCTGTCTAGCAAACTACAAAAACAGCCACAAAGCACTAAAATTTGCCCACAAGGCACCAAAACCCCTCACAAAACAGTAAAGTTTGTGCACTAAGCGCTAAAATCCCTCACAAAGCACTAAAATTTGTGCACAAAGCACCAAAATCCCTCTCAAAACACCAAAATCTTCCACAAAGCAAATCCACAAGACACCAGAAAATCAGTCAAAAGCTGCCAAAATCCAGCCACAAACCACCGGGAAAAAGCATTGACAAAGCACCAAAATCCAGCCAGAAAGCACTAAGAAAAAAAGAACCCCAAGCCACCAAAAATACAGCCACAAAGTATCAAAATCTGTCCATAAACCACAAAAAAAAAGTTACAGAAAACTAAAACATGGCCACAAGCCACCAAATGTCATAAGCTACCAAAATCCATCCAGAAACTACCAAAAAATCCCAATGTACCAAATCCCAAGCCGCAATGTACCAAAATCTGTTCACAGAGCACAAAAAACACTCACAAAGCACCAAAATTTGTGCACGAAGCACCAAAATCTCTCACAAAGCAAAGTCCCAAGGCACCAAAAAAAAAAAAGACAGCCACAAGCCACCAAAATCTGGCCAGAAATCACTGAAAAACACCCTCAAAGCACCCAAATCTGTCCCCAGTCATAAGGTGCCAAAAAAGAGCCCTAAACCATCAAAAATCCAGCCACAAATGGCCAAAATCTATCCAGAAACTACGAAAACCCGGCCACAAAACACTGAACTTGCCACAAATTACAAAAATGCAGCCACAAACCAGCAAACCTGTTCATAAAACCAGCCCTGAGGCACAAAATCCAACCACAAACCACCAAAATCCTCCCAGAAATTCCAAAACCAGCCACAAATCACTGGAACCCTGTTTTTTAAAAAAGACACAAATCACTGAAATGCAGGCACAAATTACCAAACCAGGAAATCCCCAAAATCCAGCCTCACATTCCAGTCACAGGTCACAAAACCAACTGCAAATCACCAAAATCCAGGTGCAGATCACCCTAAAACAGCCCGAAATCATTGAAATCCAACCTCAAATCACCAAAATCCAGCTCCAAATCACCCTAAACACCAAATCCAGCCCTAAATCATCAAAATCCAGGTGCAAACCACCAAAATCCAGTCAGAAATCCAACCCAAAATCACTAGAATCCACCCCTAAATCCACCAAAAATTAGCCCTCAAATCACAAAAATCCAGCTCCAAATCACCCTAAACACCAAATCCAGCCCTAAATCATCAAAATCCAGGTGCAAACCACCAAAATCCAGTCAGAAATCCAACCCAAAATCACTAGAATCCAGCCCTAAATCCACCAAAACTTAGCCCTCAAATCACAAAAATCCAGCTCCAAAACACCCTAAACCAGTCCCAAATTACCCTAAACCAGCCCTAAACACCAAATCCAGCCCCACATCACCCAAATCCAGCCCCAAGTCACCCTAAACCAGCCTCAAGCACAAATTCAGCCCTACATCATCAAAATCCAGCTGCACACCACCAAAATGCAACCTCAAATCACCAAATCCAGCCCCAAATCACCCAAATCCAGCCCCAAATCTGCCTAAAACAGCCCCAAGCACCAAATCCAGCCCTAACCTCAAAACCTCAACCTCAACCACAACCTCAAAGTCCAGCTGCACACCACCAAAATCCAACCTCAAATCACACTAAATCAGCCCTAACCAGCAAATCCAGCCCTAAATCAACCAAATCCAGCCTCAAATCATCCAAATCCAGCCGGAAATCACCCAAAACCATCCCCAAATCTCCCTAAACCAGCCCCAAGCACGAAATCCAGCCCTAAATCATCCAAAACCAGCCCTACATCATCGAAATCCAGCTGCACACCACCAAAATCCAACCTCAAATCACTCTAAATCAGCCCTAACCAGAAAATCCATCCCTAAATCATCCAAATCCAGCCCTAAATCACCCTAAGCCAGCCCCAACCAGCAAATCCAGCCCCAAATCATCCAAATCCAGCCCTAAATTATCAGAATCCAGCTGGAAATCACCCAAATCCAGCCCTAAATCACACAAATCCAGCCCCAAATCATCCAAAACCAGCCCTAAATCATCCAAATCCAGCCCCAAATCATCCAAATCCAGCCCTAAATTATGAGAATCCAGCTGGAAATCACCCCAAACCAGCCCCAAATCACCCCAAACCAGCCTCAAATCACCCTAAATCAGCCCCCCAACCAGCAAACCCAGCTCCAAATCACCCAAATCCAGCCCCAAACCACCCAAACCCAGCCCCAAATCCCACCGCAGAGCCCAACCCCTGCCCCCTCAGGGGAAGGCCCAGCTGGGGTTTGTTCTCCCCAGATGTTCCCACAACCCCCAATAACCCCCCCCCAACACACACTCACCCCTCCCACCCCATAATGACTCCAATCAAATAAATAAGGGCCCGCTGGGAATAATGTCCATGAAGTTCCGAGTTCTCGGAGCGCCGGGGCCCTGCCAGCCCCAAACTGTGGGGCCTTTCTGCTGCGGGCCAGCCAGGGCACAATGAGGGATTGTCCAGCCCCACATCCCAATTGAGAAGGGCAGATTCTCCGGGATATATAAATATATTTATCCCGCTCCCACAGCTGTGCAGTGACCAATTCTTCTCCCGGGAGAGGAGGGGGATTGAGGATTGGGGACAGTAATGGGTCTATTATTTCGGGATGGAGAGAACGAGCCCTTTTTTCTCCTCTCTCTCTACATTAAGACAATTGTTATTCCTTGCTCCCCTTGTTCCTGCTCTCAGCCCCCTGATTCGGGCACAAGCTGCGTGGGAAGGAAAGGAAATTAAGGGAAAATGGATTTTTCCTGGGAAGCTGAGCGCCAGCCCAGCCTAAACCCTGTTAGATGTTGGTCTGTAATATTTTACTTAAATAAAGATTAAACCCAGCACTAAAGTCAGAATTGGATTGGATGATCCTTAGAGGCCTTTTCCAACTCAGGATATTGAATCCTAGAATGCATGATTCTGTCATTTAGAATCCTGGAATCCACGGAAACATATCCCATAATCTTGTGGATTCATAAAATCATCATTTGATTTGTAGAAACACATTCCATCGCTCTGTGATTTAGAATCCCAGAATCCTGGAATGGTTTGCCTTGGGAGTGAACTTAAAGCTCATCCATGGAATTCTTCAGCTGGGAATAGCCCCAGGCCATGAACCTGCTTTCCAGAGCCATGTCCCTGTGGTCTTCACCGTGTAGGACATTGGGAAAATCCCATTTGGGACTCACCTTCCTTGCAGAAAGATCCCAGCATCCAAAGGGTAGATTTCCACACCATTCTGACTCATATATCCA